AGGGGGGAAGAGGGGAGGAAGGGAAGGGGGAAGGGGGAGGAGAGTGAGAGGGGGAGGCGTGAAAAGCCAAGGAAGAACGAGACCTTGCCACCACTCACCATAACCATCTCGCCGTCCTGAATCTCCCGGACAAAATTTGTTTCTTTGCCGTCCCATTTCTGTACGTGAATGAGCTTGTCTCCATCCAGGCTAACCACAGACTGAGGCCAGCAGCAAAAATGCAGAACAGAGCCATAAGAGCAAGTCAGATTTCTGACACGGAAGACAAATGGCCTGATTTCTGAAAGCACTGTATCATGGAAGAACATCGCGATCAACTAGCTATCCCGCTGGAAGCACATCCGCTAGGACTTCTCATCGTCAGCGGTGCATCATTTGATGCCCGCGTGTCCATCTCGCTGCAGAATCTCCCTTCTTTAGACGTGAACGACCTAAGCTGGTGGTTCTGACTAGCCACCCTCCACAAAGCCTTGGAATTAAAGTGCACCGTTTCTTTCGAACAAACGCTGCTCAATACTTTCTGAAATACAAGCCTGTTATAAAAGTCTGCACAGTGTATGAGAGACAATTCCAGCCAAGATTTGAGCTGTGACAAGCACCCGTCCTTAAGAACATGCCAGTGCACACTAGAATGTTAAACGAGCTCTAGCGTACTTCTTGAATGGAAATAGGAAACCACCTCCACTTCCCAACATCTGCAGAAAAAGCAGCACTGGCAAGGGTCATCTTTTACCCCGCCCTCTCCTCCCTGCCCTGGAGTCGAAGCAACTCCTCACCTTACAGTTTCTGTCGTCTGCTGTGGTTTCATCAAACTCTTCTCCCAGATGGAACCCGATCTCTGTGTTCTTGAACGTGCTCTGGGTCCTGATCACCACCTTGCCTCCCTCCTGGCTGATAATCACCGTCGGTTTGGTCACATTCCCCACCTGCCTGGTGGCAAAGCCCACGCCTACAACAGCAAAGGGAAACGGTGGGGTCAGCGGCAACTTCCAAAATAACCCACCGAGCAGGAATCTGCCTTTTGATCCTGGGATCCAGGTTCCAAAGCGTGCGTTTCCTTAGAGCATGATGAGCTTGTTAATCACCAAAGGCACTACCCAGCGCCGGTAAGTGGAGGCTGAAGAAGAAACAAAAAGCCAGAAGCTTCACAGACTCCATGGACTAACAGATGGGTCGTTATTTAGCCCCGGGCTGCAAACAAGCAGAGGCTGCATGAGAAATCCCTTCCGTGGGAAATGCATAGCCTAGCATCTAATTAGAACTAGGTGGCCCATCTTTGTCTCCTGCAGCCCTGATGGGTGACAAGAGGTACGGGCAGGTGCCTGAAGGTGCAGGTTAAGACGCGAACAGCAAGTCTTTTTACTTACCCAGAGCCTTCATGTACTCATCAAAGTTCTGACTGTCAACCAGCTTCCAGGTGCCACAGAACGCCTCCACCATCCTTGCCCTTTCCCCCTCTGGAGACAGGAGCGAGGATCTCTGGCCTCCCCTTCCCTGCGATTCAGAAGAAACAGCCCTGGCACCCCAGCAGCAGCTCCCGGCTTCTTATCTGGGAAGGGGCCGGGCAAAAAGCCAGCGATCTGAATCGCAAGTACACCCCTCCTTCTCCCCGGGAGGCTGTCGCAGCAGGCGAGGTTGGACAGGGGGGCTCGCGTGAGGCGCCAATCCTCTTTGCCATTGGCTCGGGCCACTGGGTTAGCAGAGTAGGTCGGCTTCCTCCCAGTCCTCACACCGCAGCCCTTAGGCCTGAGAAAGCTCTGCGGAGATTCAATGGGGCTGGAGGCAGCGGACGGAAAAATGAGAGAGGGTCTTTCAGGTTCAGCGAGAAAAAAACTTGGCAGAGGCCACTTCAGACTGGGAGCGGAGAAAGGAGATGCACAATAGGGCATTCAGATTGATTTCCGTTCATGGCAAAGCTGGGTCCATACAAATGAGGACCCGCTTCAAGACAGCCACTGAAAGGCCAGGCCTCACAGACAAAGGATGCTGAATAGTGTGTGTATTTTCACTCGTATTTACCGAGAGCAAAACGCAGGCTAGAGTGTGCCAAACTAGAGGGGGAGGAGGTGTAGAGACCTTCCCTACATGCCCGGCTTAAAGACTGCTCTGAGCATCAGTGGGGACGCTCACTAATTTGGGCCCCTTCCCGACACCAACTGAGTGAACTTAAAGATCCCATTGTCCTTTCTAAGAATGTGAGAACCAGGCTGAGTTGGATAAGGGACCCAGGAAGAGTATGGCTAGGATTTACTAATGAGGCACAAAATAAAGAAAAGAATGCTCTTCCCCCCTCCTCCTTTACCAGATTATAGAATGCATGTGGAGAAACTGGACAGAAGATTGTTTACTAAGATTTTAAATGACTGCACTCCGGGGCCTCTGGATTTCCTGAGGCCACAGCGACGTCAATGCGATCTGTGCACACTGCACATTTTTGGGAGTTCGCGATGGACACAGGGTAGGAACTGGAAGAACGGTGGGAATCAGAAGAGCTCTGGCTTCAGTTTGTCCTACCTCTGGGTACCCCGAGAATGGCATATTCCTTGAGGGTTCTAGGTAGAGTATTTAAACAAGGTCTCTGAATTTCCCCTTCTTTGCTGGTGTAGACCATCCATGAAAAGCAGCTTCCCTGTCTCTCCTGGGGACAGAGCAAGGAATCTGACTTGGCAGTTCTACCCTTCTGCCTTTCCTCCCATTTAAACTGCAGCCCTGTGCCTTTCTGCTTTGTCCACACCGAATCCAGCAGATGAGCCTCAGAATCCGTTAAACAAACTGCCCGTCGCATGCTTCTACTTTGGCCTCCCAAAGGGGCTTGTTTCACATGGAGTCTTTTCCATAACGGGTCTTCCAGTTTTCGATATATCTGTGAATGCACCCACGTGCACAAACCAGAGACCTCTGAGTGATTTCCAATACCCTACTACTGAAACCAAACTCGACGCCAAGGCCTATCTCCTTGGCTTCTTGAATATCTATCCAGTTTGTCACTCTCGCCCCTTCTCCACCATCACTGTCTTAATTCAAGCAGCCACTGGCTTTTGCCAGTGCCACGGAAATAGCTGCCTCCCTGTTCTTCCTGTAGCTATCCCTGATCTCCAACCCTTCACCCTGCTGGAGCCTGAGTTACCTCATAAAATACAAATCCACACCTCCCCAGGAACTAATGATGTCGAACAACTTTGTATGCGCGGTCTCTGTCATTTTTATATCTTCTCTGGTGCAGTGACTATCCAAATATTTTGCCCATTTTAAATTGGGTTATCTTCTTACTACTGAACCGTAAGAGTCCTTCTAGGTAAAAGTCATTTATTGGACATATGCCTTGCAAGCATGTATTTATCTTCATTGTCTTAATTGGGATAATGGTCTCACTGATGTGTTCAAATGTATCAAGTGCACGTTTTAAATATGTGCAATCGACTTTACGTCTGTTTTGCTGCAGTAAAATGTGGTGTTTAACGAAATCTAAATCTGATGTTGCCCCAGTGGGAGACCAAAAGATGCCACCCCAAAGTGTACGTCTTTGGCCTTTTCCAAGATGGCTATTTAGAGAACTGAAGATACAAGAAGAGCTCACAAAAGCTGTCCATTCGTAAAGGAAATTTGCATCTGTCTACACTAGTAAAGAGCAGACACAAAGAGAGGCTTTCTCTAAGGCCCCCTTCTAAGCCTAAAGATGGATCTAGGGAAAATCCTATGGATGTCCAACCCGGAGATTACCACAGGACACCCAGAGGAGATTACCACGGGATACCCAGAGATTACTAGAGGCTACCGTCTCTTCTTCTGAAGGCTGCTGCCTGAGAGACTTTCCTGCACAAGAAAACAACCTTTGTTCACACCTTAGTTCTACCCCTCATCCTCCCACAGCATGTTACCCCCACCATCCGGGAGTCCCAAACCCTTATTCCTTTCTGTATGGCATAAAAATTTCATTCATCTGGTTCTTCTTTGCGTCTCATATTTTGCATGGATCCCATGCACATGTACACAAAGCAAATTCATATGCTTTTTCTTCTGCTAATATGCCTACTGCCAGTTTATTCCAGAGACTCCAATTGTCAAAACTTCAGAGCATGGAAGGAAAATTCCTTTCACCTCCTACATCTCTCTCCGGCTTAAACCCTTTCAAGTGGCTTCTCCTTGTTCTCAGGTTAAAGACCACAATTCCATTGCCAACGTCAGGCCTACCCCTGACTTTGGAAGGGTTCGGGATAAGAATTCAAATGGAAACTCACCTGCTGTATGTCTGAACAATAAAAGTTATAGGTCAAATGATGCCCGCAGCCTGAGAGCCCCAGTCAGGACTCAAAGTTTGCTCTCAACCTTCTTTCCAAGGCCACCCCATGATGCCTGCAGCCCCAAGCAGGAGCACAGTAGATCTTCTGGGAGGACTACCCAGAAGCTAGTTGGAACCCAGAGTTTCTAGGAGTGACTAGAATCCCATCAACCTGGCATGGGGACATAGAGACTACCTGGGACTTGGTGCTGTGATGACCTGAACTTAAAGATGCCCTAAGCCACCCCCAAAAGCCTGAAACCGAACCAACCCAGAGGAAGCAAAGTTTATACAGTCAGACCTCTCTGTGTCATTTGAGCCTTTGAACCAAGTACCTGAAACCACCCCATTCATGAGTTTTCCATAAATTCTCTTTTTTTGCTAAAGTTCACACAACTAATTAATCCATCTGTGGTAATTATTCTCAAACTAACTTATTTTGTTACCACAATACGTTCTTACATGTTTCACCTAATAAAACATGCTTAAAGTGGTAGAATGTTTAAGTGTTATTCTAAAACATAATAAATAATTTCCTTTTTGTATTCCAAGAACATAAATTGTTGAGAGCCGGGACCACGTGTTAGACATTTTCATCCTAGCTCCTTATAGATTATGGATGTGGAAATGTTTGTCCATACACATTTATTTAGTCTACGCTAGACAAATAATAAGAGATGATTATATACTTAGTCTAGCTTGGCATATTTCATTTAATAGAATGTCCTCCAGTCCATCCATACTGTGGCAAATGACAGGATTTTATTCTTTTTTTGTGTGTGACTGGGTAATATTTCACTGTGTATATGTACCCCATATTCATTTTATTTTATTTTAAAGATGTGGGATACAATGCCATTATGCATGTACGCTTGTTGATGAGGTGTGCCTTCTCTCCCCTGGCAGATTCCCACTACTGCCAATTCTTTTCTTATAGTATGATGATAATTGTTCAAGGTCCGCTTATGAGTGAGAACGTGTGATACTCGGTTCTTGGTTTCTTGAAAGATCATTCAGTATTATAGAGTCTTAAGTCCATCCAGGTTGCTGTGAAGTTCGTAATTTTGCCTTCTTCATGGCTGCGTGATATTCCATCATGTATATGTACCACCTTTCTTTCATCCGGCCCTCTTTCGACGGGCAGCACAGTGGGTTCCATGTTTTTGCTATTGTTATTGTCACGCTTTCTTTATCCGTCTGTTTATGGATACTTAGGTTGATTTCGTATCTTAGCTATTGGGAAGAGTGCTGCAAGAAAGATGGGAGTGCAGATATCTCTTCTCTATACTGATAGCCTTTCTTTTGGTTAGGTATCCAGTCGTGGGGTTGCTGGATCATATGGTAGTTCGATTTTTAGGTTTTGGGGGAAACTCCATATTGTTCTCTATAGTGACCATACTAATTTGCATTCCCAACAGTGTACAAGTGTGTCCCTTTCTTGGCCTTCTCACCAGCATTTGTTAATTTCTGTCTGTTTGATGCTAGTCCTTTCAACTTCGGTGAGGTGATATCTCACTGCGGTTTTGGTGTGCATTTTCCTGACTCATGATGTTGAGTGTTTCTCCAATATCAGTTGTCATTTGGATGTTTCCTTTTGAGGAATGTCTGTTCAGATCTTTGCCCATTTTTAAGCTGCATTATTTGTTTTTTTACTGTAGAGTTGTTTTAGCTCCCTTTACATTCTGATTATTACTCTCTTGTTGGAAGCATAGGTTGCAGATGTGTTCTCCCATTCTGTAGGTTGCCTCTTCACTTTGTTGATTTTCTTTGCTGTGTAGAATTTTTTAACTTGATGTAATCGCAGTTGTCAATTTTTGCCTTGGCTGCCTTTGCTATTTAGGTCCTATTCGATAAGTAACTGTGCCCAGACCAATGCCTTGAAGCATTTCTCCAATATTTTCTTCTAATAGTTTCATACGTTTAAGCCTTTGATCCATTTTTATTTGATTTTTGTGTACAGTGAGAGTTAGGGGTCTAGTTTCATTCTTTTGCATGTGGTTATGCAGTTTTCCCAACACTATTTATTGAAGAAACTGTCATACCCAATGCATATTCTTGGCGCCCATGTCAAAAATAGGCGGCCTATAAATATGTGAACCTATTTCTGGCTTCTCTGTTCTGTTCCTTCGGTCTGTTTTATGCTAGTACCGTACTATTTTTGTTACTATAGCTGTGTGGTATATTTTGAAGTCAGATAATGTAATGCTTCTGGCTTTGTTCTTTTTGCTCAGGATTTCTTTGGCTATTCAAGGTCTTTTGTGGTTTC